TGTGCAGTCGGATTGGGAAAGCCTACGAAAGCCTCCCGTTAAACGCGCCCACAATTGCTGTCTATTCATTGCTTATGACCGAAACACTGTGGCTGTGATAGTGGCAAAGATAGTTCAACCAAAGCTTTGGCCCCTTATTGCACCGTGCTAAGAGCCTGGATATTGCTGTGGTTATGGGGAATTTTAATGCGCAGTTAAGTCGACTTAGGGTTGCCGAGATTCAGTTGGGTAGTCGACTCGGATTGCAATCAAGACTCACGGACAACGGCCGGGGCTTGCTGAATTTATGCACTGACAGTAGACTTTGTGTGCGGCATTAACCTTCAAAACAACCAAAGCCGCTTGACCACAAGTTGCCCCCTGCATGCGAGTCAAAATCCAACATGAACAGACTACATCGCCAGTAGCCGCGGTTGGTGAGTCAGCTACTGACAGTCGCCCGTTCTTGAACACCTGCTTCTCCTGTCATCTTCTGCATCACCAATCCACTGGTCCTGAAGAAATTCCACCCATTGCTTAGAGGTGAAATCCTCCGTGGTTGCTTCTCTAACATACTGGTCCCTATCAAGGTGAAAAAAGCCGTTTTGGGACGAATCGATAGTGATGCCCGTTTTCAAAAAGGATGCTCGCAGTGAGTGCGGCAATCATAGGGAAATTTGCTAGACCACAAGTGCAACCAGACTCTTTATATCACTTATTTTACATCGCCTTACGAAGCCGCGTTAAGAGAGGACCGAGGACATCAAATTCCGGGCGAGAAGTGACTGTGAAACACGTCTTTACACTCCGCCAAATGTTAGAACAGCATACCTTGATTCACCATCCAGGGTTCTAGTGCAGTTCATCAATCCAAGTGGCAGCAAATGATGGCGAAGAATTGCTGTTCAGAATACCGGGCCAAGTGGCCGAGTGAAAAAATCGTTCAGCTGTAGCACCAGTTTGGTGATTAAATGCCATGCAACCCGAAAATTGCACGAGGGCTGGAATACTGACAGGTTGCCCAAGCCTAGACAGGGTAAGTCGAGTTGCAGAGGTCGGGTTCAAACCACAAACATTCCGGTCAGTGAATTCGCGCTCTAACCACTAGAGCGCCCCTTCCTCCAAGCGTCCAAGCCGTCTGTTCTTATCGAGAATGGTTGTACCACTTTGATCATCGACGGTTTCCGGGGGCCGGTCGTAGAGATCAACTGAAGTCCTCTTCGGGCATTTCCAACATTCTGCGTCTCTCCGATTTCCGTAGACTTCCGCGCAAAGGAGTCTTCACACTAAGTGTCACGTGACGTTTGTTAATTCGTTGGGCCGAATTTCATTCTGGACGAGCTAGAACATACCTCCGAGATTCAAACAGCGCCATTGTTCTGTCTGAGAGCTAATACCTGAGCGAAAATGCTGGCAAAGTGCCACAGACGTAGCTTCACGCACCGTACAGTGTCATTATATTAAATTTACGAACTGTCATCTGATAGTGCGGTTAGAAGAGTCCAGAAGACGGTCCAGGTGAATTACTTCGGGAACCCTCAGATTTCCAGTTGCTGAGCGATGTGTTGGCCTCGTACGCGGCCCTGGAGAGCTAAGGGAAGCGACATCACATGGTCGAAATCCACACAAGTGTCAAGCGGCAGTCAGTTGTTCACCTGTACCACCGACAACTGATGGGGATGCGATCACACCCGTTCCACGGCTGGTACGGTGCTGGAGGACATCATGTGGGCAAACGACCAGCTACATCGAAACTCAGCATAAAGTTGATAGCCGCCTCTGTGCGGTTTGTTTGGCAACATCTTAGAGAATCTAGAGGAAGTGAGGTTCATCGCACATTTATTATGCTACTTACGCCCCAATTGACTGTAGCTCTGAATCTGCCAAGGACAGTCTCTATGACGCTCTATTAGCCCTTCTACAGCAGGCTAAAAGCCCAGATATCGTTGTGATTGCTGGTGATATGAACGCCCAGGTAGGCAGGCTAAGCGCTGCTAAGGCCCGACTGGGTGGTTGTCTTGGTTTGGACACGAGACGCACAGACAACGGAGACCGCTTACTTCAGATGTGTGCCGACCACAGACTGTTCCTTTGTAGTACGAATGTCCGGAACAGCGGAAAGCGCTTGACAACGTGGTGCCCATCAACAAACCAGTCACGAAACCAAATAGACCACATCGCCGTGAGGGTCGATCACCAACTGCTGCTCCTTCTGGAAGACCAGCGTGGAATCCGATCATGCACTTTTACGCTGCTGCTTCCCATTGCGCTTACCAGGTCAACACAAAAGGCGCACGCCTCACTTAGCTGCTAAGAAGCTAGTAAACCCAGAAGTCAAACGAAACTATCGGAAGTAATAATAATCGTCCAGCTGTAGAACCCTTCCGGTGCCTAGCTGCCATGCCACCCGAGGGAAGCAGGAGGGCTGGGATACTGCCAGATTGCCCAAACTNGATCACCGCCTGTCGCTCCTTCTGGAACACCAGCATGGACTGTGACGATGTGCTCGTACCCTGCTGCTTTTGATTGTGCTTTTTAGGAGTACGCAAAAAACGCACACCTCGCTTAGCTATTGAGGAGCTAATGGGCTCAGAAGTCAAACGAAATTATCAGAACCAGCTCCTCGAACGCCTGCTGGGTGGTACGATATTATCATCATCATCATCATCAATGACAGCAACATCAGTGTTGGCACCGATGCTTCACTGCCGTACAGCCATAAAGTTCGTTTAGCTATATATATATATATATATATATATAGCTAAACGAACTTTATGGCTGTACGGCAGTGAAGCATCGGTGCCAACACTGATGTTGCTGTCATTGATGATGATGATGATGATAATATCGTACCACCCAGCAGGCGTTCGAGGACCTGGTTCTGATAATTTCGTTTGACTTCTGAGCCCATTAGCTCCTCAATAGCTAAGCGAGGTGTGCGTTTTTTGCGTACTCCTAAAAAGCACAATCAAAAGCAGCAGGGTACGAGCACATCGTCACAGTCCATGCTGGTGTTCCAGAAGGAGCGACAGGCGGTGATC